TATTAATTCTTTAATCTAAAATACAGGTATATAATGTTGGAAGTGTATTTCAAAGGGTTTTTTTTTCTTTTAGATGCACCAGTAGCATACCTTTTGTATCAAATTTGCATTTCATACTTATAACGGTTTTGTCTCCATTTGTGCAATAACATATTGACTTTCTAAGTAAATGATTTACTTCACTGCAAATTTACATGACTTGTACATAGAAGTCAGCTATTTTTCCTGAAATTCTTGATCTGTAGCATTGATATGAACATGCATATTCGATGATATTTGCTGTGTACTTATCTCATGTTCAACCAGCATATAATAACAAAGGCTGTTACCTGCATATGTCTAAAGACTGTATTTGTCATACCAACCCAGACATGCGTCACCACTTGCCTTGCAGATCACACTAGATGCGGGCATATGGGCCATGCACAAAAAGACTTTGCAAACAATCGGTGATTCCTGAACTGCCATTGTCCAAATCCACTGATTTGTTGTAGACATGGACAACCGAAACTACTGCCAGCTGTGGACGAGGCACCCCACTTCACAATTTGGGCATTTTTTCAGAAACCTTTCTGTGTTTACATTTTACTTTTGAATCCTTGACCTGTTAAGAATAGCCCTTCTGCCTGGCATTTTACCTTTCTTATCTTTCTCTAGATTTTCTCATGGTTCTGTCTCAAACTCCGGCATTGCTTCTGAAACCAGAGCTGGGGTTATGCAGCTGGGCCTTGCATCTTGGAAGGAAGCCTGTCAAACTGATAGCAGCATAGCCGGGAAGGTAACAGAGCTACAAAGGGACAAAGATTTGGCAGGGACAGAGAGGAAATTCACTTGTATTTGAAGCACCGACAAGTTAATTGTGCTTATCTGATTTTGTTTACATTCACAGAAAAAAATGACATTTCTCAAGCTTTTCATGACGACTAAGGAATATAAAATACAGTGAAAGTAGGATAATGCTGGGCAGACAAGTGCCAAATGTCATCAGTGGCTACCTTAGAATAGGCCTGTAAAAAAGTATTACACCCCTACATCATCAGGCTTTCAACTTGCAAATGAAATCTGTTCTCAGTAACAGAGGGAAAATAGGGTAGTGGTCCTTTAAATAAACATGCAAGCAGATGGCAGACAAACAAGGGACTGCAAGATATTTCTTGCAGGCTTCCGAAGTCTATGGTGATGGCCATTAATGGGGTATAAATTAAACGGGGGAGAAAAGCTCAGTGAAGTTCTGCCTTCGATTTCACAGTGGGACACATAATTGACTTCTGTGCTCTCATTACACTACCAAGGAACAATAATAATAAAGTAGCATCTTCATTTTTTCCACTCTACTGCAGATTTTAATCTACCTAGAGAAACTATTGGTACCTGGATTCCTACTTCCTTTAATTCACACGTGTTAATGTAGAAACCTTATGAAAGTTAAAAAAGTTAAACTGAGAGATGCTAACATTTAATCATTACAAAATTTGTGCTGCTTCATACAACACAATCAAATAATAAACATAAAGGATCTTTTAAAAATATGCAAATAATTTTACTTTTAGTCTTTGTGAATTTGAATCATTTCTATCTTTAGAAAGCACAATGATTTATGAGGCATTTTAGAAAAAAGGTTATTTGTAGAAGCTTTCTTAATAAAATATATAGCTCAACCTATTTTAAAATCTTTCTTTAAGCTTCATAGCTATTACAGGCAGTTACACATCACTAATTTTATTTCCAGTAAAAAACAGAGAATTAACTTTCATTCGTTCTTAAAGCCAGACATCTTGAGGGGAAAAAAAAAAGCAAACCATTAATTGGGTGGGGAGAGGGGAAATGTAATTATGCTTTAATTATGCTTTCCTCAAAATTAAGCAAAATCTCAATATTTAAATGTTTATGTCAATTTAAAAATAATTGTAAAACAAATTTAATTGCTCATATAATCTACTACGTATTTACTACCAAAAAAAAAATTTCCTTCTTGACCAACTTGATCAAACATTTATTTATCTGGCAGGAGTATTTCTAACATCAAAAATTCAAAAGTGAATTCAGTTCTTAGGGTAAAATTAATAAAAAGCCACAGCTCCCAAGACTACACAACTACTTTCTGAAAGGGCTCATTAGTACAGAAACCAGAATATGCACTATCATTCAGCCACCATATGTCCCCTCAACACGGAAAAAAGGGAGAGCAGAAGAGCATTTTTATAATGCAGCTACCAAGCTGCTCCTAAAAATTAATATTTGGTGTGAAAAGAAGGAGACTAAACTCTTAGACTGATCTAACTTGGAGGCACTGCTCTTTTATACGCATGCTGATCTCTTGCTCTGCTCAAGCAAGACTCCTTGTGAGTTTAATTATTATCTGCTGATAAAGCCTTAGATCCAGCTCTGTTTTCACTGCTGGGGTCTCTAGGCACAGCAATACAGGTAAGGTAAAAAAAAAAAATTAAGAGTCAGTTCAGCTGAACATCTTTATTGGCAATACATCCATTTTAATAAATAGAACTCAGTTTTTGCCCTTTGCAACTATCAATTTCAGTAAAATGCATAGTGAGTCTTTGTGTTTCCAGAGAGCACCTCATAAGGTTCTTCCTTTTCATAAACATTTGGACAGTTCTTGACATTATTTTAAACTAGCAATAGCCCATATGCCCATAAAAAACTGCTAAGTTTCACACAGCTTGGCTTTCAAAGTGGGTAAAGCTGGGTAAAGAAAGGTGCAGTATTGGTGTGTATGGCTCCAAGCATCGCTTCTACAAATGCAGGTCTTCCCCCACCCAGGGAAACTTGCTCACCACACACATTTTGGGCGCAGTCCAAACCAGCCCCGTTTGAGCTAGATTTACACCAGATTCATTTGTCATTGAAAGTTAGCTTTTTTTTTCTCTCTCCTTTTTTGTTTTGTAATGGGAAATGTATACGCAATGTAAGAGTATAATGAAATGTTATAGTACAAGCATTTACTTACGGCACCCTCTTCTGCAACCAGAGGACCCAAGAATGTAGCTGTATCTGTCTTCTTGAACTCCTACCTTAAAGAGAGGTGCAGCAGCAACTTCTGTAAAGAGCTGCCAGGCTCTTTGATCCCCCCACACATCTTGAGCATTTACCGTAGGGGAAGGAGGAGGGAAACACATAATAAATATAACAAAAAGAAAATACTTAAAAATGTAGTATGAAGGATTTAAAGTGTAGATGCTACACTTTTAATTCACAAAAAAAAAGGCAATAGGCAATAAAAAAACCCCAAACACCTCACACACACACAAAACATCCCACCCACCCTTGCCTTCCCATTGGAGAAGCAAAAGCTGAAATGCAACTTAATTCTTTCAGAGTTCTTCACTCTCCACCTTGTGAAATTCAGATCCCAACCTATCAATCAAATCAGATACCTCAGAAATGCTGCGTTCAGCCTGACTTCACTGGGAAGTTTCTGACTATATGTGAATTAGTTCCCCTAACAAGGGTATTTCTCCTCGCATTTGAAACTTGCAGTTGTGTTAGTACTCTATTAATAAGGTTTAAAGACTTGCATACAGAGTATGATCCACATTCTGACAATCACTGATGACCAGGAATCAAGTAATGAACATTTATTTGTAGACCCAATTTTGCATGCATGTAAGATGATGCTAGTATTTTCTTTTGTCCTATATAGCTCCCACAACACTATAAGGAGGGGGAAAAAAAATCCTAGTTTGAGCTTTGGTTTAATTTTCAGGTTTAATTTAACACCTGATCTAAACCTCAAGTAATGTTAACCATTCATTCAGTCCCCATATGATTTGCTCCATATTTTCCACTTTCCAGGAAGCACAACATGAAGACTTAACTTTAGAGAGGAAGGAAAACCTCTCCTCTTCCCTCCTGATTTTTTAATTTGCCATTTACTGTGATACAGCAACTTTCAGTTACGCAAAGGCAATTCAACAAAGCCTTGTCAGCTAAGATTATTGAACTGAAGTTTCTTGGTAAGGTAGATTTGATGCAAGATTTACAAAATGCGGAAACTATTCTATTTGATAATGTATCATTGCTATTCTATTTGTACTTCAAAATGAAACCACACTTTACTACAGTACGGTCCAACACTACAAAAAAAGCTCATAACAAGACAACGTATTGCAGCATTACAAATTTATTTAGTTTCTTTGAAGTAATTTTTCAGTACTGAAAAGTTTACTCCATTTTCTATGCATTAAAACCATATGCATCTTTAAAAAAAAAAAAAGTAGTAGTGCTGTGCTTATTTTTATTTTTTACAAGATATAACCCATATCTCAGGAACTGATTTCTTTAGTTAAAAAGTCCATAAAAAATAAGTGATGCACCACCAGAATTTTTTTAAACATGTGAAATACATCTCTTTGGGAAACAACTTTTTTTTTTTTTTTTAAATTGTATCACAAAAGATACAGACCTGAAAAAGGATAAACAATCATACACAAGGCATAAACATGACACAGAATAATTCAGACATTTTATAAAGAGATCTGGAAAAGTACCTAAAATAGTAACATTTATTTAGTATAAAATTTGAATAATAAAATATTGCTCATAATAAATAAGAAAACATGAGTTTCTTTAATACTGCTCTACCCTTAAAGCTATCTTGGATGTAACGTGATAAGACTGGATCAAAATTGAAATTTCTATTCCTCCTCTATATCAGCTTGGCAGATAAACAGGCCTCGGGCCATTCTTTGTTAGAAAGAACTTATTATCAACAGAACACAAAGTTCATTTCAAGGCTCATACGTAGTTATGGGCAAAAAAAGAAAATCCATTGCGAAAAAACTTTAAACAGTAGATTTCAATACTTAATTGCCTTTTTATTTAAACTGAAGGGGAATAAGACTTCTTATGAATTACAAAAGCAAAGAGAAAGCTGCCGAAGTCTCCTTAGAAGCGCCTAGACACCTGCGTGTGCCGCTCTCGCTCAGGATTAGCCAAGCTTGCCGGGACAGTCGACGCCAGAGACGCGTGCGAGGTGCCTGGCGCTATATCGGGGCGCTGGGCTTGGCCCCCGCGCGCCCCACCTGCAGGCAGGGCAGCTTGGAGCAGTTCTTCAGCAGCTGCTCGATGGCGATGTGGCGGACGTTCAGCTGCGAGGCCAGAGAGTCCTTCTCCTGCACCTGCTGCGCCAGCTCCTCAAACACCTCTGCAAGGACACGGGTACGGGGATCACTCGGTCGCTGTGCTCTCACAGGGTTGAGGAGCACTGCTGACCCTTACTAGCAAAAATATCACATGGGTACTTAGGCAGGCTAAAAGGAACAGTGGTATTTTGTTCCAATGCTACTTGGTAGGTTGGTACACTAAGTCATGTTCAAAACTTCGTTGACAATGTCACCTCACTATCTATAAAACTGGAATTTTCTTTATTAAAAAACAGTACAACCTCCCTCCCCACCCCTCAAAAAAAAAAATCTAAAAATTCTCACCCTGAATTTGCTTGAGCAGTTTTTCATTAAGTTGTTTTAACTCTCCAGGAGACATTGTATTCACTGTAACAATAAGATCTGTTAGCATTTTACCAAAGTAACTTAAGTGTTGATAACATGCTGTCATCATCTCAAATTTTTACTTCCATCCTAATGATGGATAGATGGGTGGAAGTAATTACAGGCAACACTATTTATCAGTCATCTGTGTGAAGCTTGAAATATATTTTATGTTGATTTTAGTTGCTCTAAAGACAACCGTCTATTCCATAGAAAATTCCCTTTCTCAATGCAAAAGAAGATGTAAAAATACAGAAAAGACCAGAATCAGAATTGCTTGTGTAAATTGCCTGTCATCTTTCAATACTTCCTTTAATACGTCAATTTGTTAAGTTCTGAAGAGGCTGAATTATCCTCTAATAAGCCTTCTCTGCCAGCCCCTATCAAGTCTGCTAATTATGGGATATTAACTTCATGCTGCTACTAAGAAAAGAAGTTGGCAACAGCCAAGAGGTCCTACTTGCTAGTCAGGTTCTCAGGCCACTTAACAGTGAAAGATTCATCTGTCTCCACCAGCTGCTAGTTATAGAGGTGCTCAATCCTTTCCTCGGTTAGCGACAGAACAGGCAACTCCTTTCTCAGCATATGGGCATCCTTTAAGTTAGTACTCACACAACTCAACGAAAACCCTAATTTCACACAGTCATAAACAATTCAAAAAAAAAAAAAATCAAGGAATTGTTCCCCCTCTCCATAGCCCCAGCAGGAAGCTGGTGCCACTGTGCCATCAATAGTAGTAGGTTCACACATTTGCTTAATTTTCTTCCCTCTGTGCATGTGTTGGACCCAAGATTGTTTTGAGTCACATCATTCTGGTGCAGGAGAAAAATAGGGGAGGGCAAGAACTTAAATGATACTCAACTTACACTGAGCTTACACTGACTTAAATGATACGAAGGTTATTCAGTCCATAGGTGAGGTAACTGATAAAGAAATACTATTGGCCTATCTACTTACAGTAGTTAACAAGTTTTTGCTAGAGTGCTATGCTGTTTTACAGACAGTGAAGGTACTGCAATGAGAGAAGACACCTAGTTTTGGCAGACAAAGTTTAACTAAACTTCTTTTTTTCCTACAAAAAAATCATATTAAAAGTTTCCAAATGGCTGCCTTCTAAACCAAAAGAGCTAAATTCTACAGAGATCAGACAAATACTTAGAATTCAAGGCATAAAAAGGCCTTAAAAGTGCACTATGCAGAAATAACAGCTAGGAAAAAAGAAATCTGTTAATGTGCTCAAAACTGCTTTATATGTCCCAAATTGGAGATCAGAGAGATAAATTCCAAGTGACTAACTTCAGTTAGATAACCCCATAAACCAGGTCAAGCTTTCATAATTCCTGTTAACTGCTGTTCTGATTTATTTAATCCCAATTTATGACTCCGAAAGACAGGTGGTCAAGCAGCACCACATATCTGTTTGGATTTAGGGCTTTAAGACTTTAAGATCCACTGTCAATGTAAAGCCTCACATAGCAGTTAAGCATTAAAAAAAAAAAAAAATCCATTTATGAAGAATGAAAAATGGCCAAGCAGTAAAAAAGAGGTTTTATTAGTATAAGTAAAAAAAGTTCTAAAGGAAACTGAGTCCATATATTCTTTTTTTTTTTTTTTAAACAGTATCTCTGTATGTCTCCATTCTGAATTATATTACCACCTTTTTCATTATTCAGTTTTTCACCACATATATTATTATTATTATAAGCTGTTTTTCTTTACTACTTTCTTGGAGGTCACTGCAGAGTCTCTCTGCATTTCAAGAAACCCATCTTCATCAATAGGAAGAGTGAAGGAATCTGATTTTAGAACCAAGGACTGTTCCAAAAGCAGCATAGTAAGTATATAGATCTCTAAGAACTTGCCCTAAATAAAATGTGTTGCTTCCAAAATTACTATAATGTTCCAAAACTGTTTTTCTAAAACCTTCTTCTAGTGACTTTTTTTTTTCCTGATATAATGGGAAGTCATTTTTCCACTTCTCTCACTGCCATCATAAGTATCAAAAGAATTTCCTATGCAACAGCACTACATATGACCTGGTGGCATAAGGACCTTTGTATTTTCTTCGGCTCAAGCAGAAGAAAAAAAACTCACGAAATGCACAAGAACAGCCTACTGCTATTACAGATGCTTTAATCCTGCATTTTGTTTCACAAGTTTGCTTTGCTACCTTACCTCTAATTCCTTTTATTTACTTGAGGCAGCTCTTTCACCAAGACACAGTTCAAGAGACCACACATGCTCAGCACGACTGTTAGCTTTGTAATCAGGTAGGACTGTGCCATTGCCACAACTGACATGCTAGAAGTTCACTGCAGTCTTCAGCACTTCTAGTAACTACTAGTAACTCTACTGGAAACTTCTTTGAAGAAGTCAGACATGCTGTGCCACACTGGGATATAGCAAGTTAAAAAATACATATTTTCTTAGCTGTGTATCCCTTTTCCTTGTAGATTTCACTGCAATTTTGAAGAGCTAATAACTATTTCAAATTGAATTAATTTATGCAGGGACATAAACTGGTTAAGAGACATTTTAGAGGATGCCCCTTACTCTACACTACTTGCAAGCATAAACATACTTACATTCTTCCCTGCTGTAATGTGGATGTCTTCTGTGAACACTGGTATGTGAATCACTTTCAGCTTTTTCAGTTTTCTGAGGCTCCTTGTGTTTAGACCACAAAACACTGTTGCAACAGAAGGTAGCACCTGCTTCTTGTAACACATCAAGGTTAAAATCAGGGGATTCTCTTTGCTCCAAAAGGCTTTGTGAACAGTTTGAAATGCTTCCTGAATTTCCATCTATCCATTTTGCAGAATATCTAGGTACTGGGGAATCAAACTGTGGTAGCAGTTTTCTATCAGTCTGATGTCTGAAGTTAAAAAATTGGTGTTGGGATGTTTTTGAGCTTTCAGGATCAGAGTCTAAATCCTTATTTTGTGCATACTGTATGATCCAGTTAATTTTTTTGCTCAAGATATTTTTTACTTCTGTGTATGTACTTTTAGATAGCTTTGACCGTGGACAATCTTGATTTGCTATTAAGTGGAATTTTTCAAAGCAGTCTCTGTGTCCCCTTAATGATCTTGTATGTAGAAGATCTGACTTTGGTACTCCTGTAGAGACACAATTAAAAAAATAGAAGAAAAATCACTTCAATCTTAAAAAAAAAAAAAAAAAAAAAAAAAAAAAAAGACTTCACTCACAAGCAAAAGAGAAAATGAATACTTAACAGATGCTTTCATAATTAACAACAAAGTAAACAAAGAAACATGAGACTAAGATGTCTTGAAATTCCATTCGGACTTTTGAGGCTTTCGCATACAAACTATTTTGTGCACAGTAACCTCTAATACAGGACAAAAGTTACCTGCAAGTATCTCTTGGATGATAATAAAGATGAAGCAAGTTACCAGCTGTGGACATAACACACCAAATTCATACCCTAGTACATATTCTGTAAGCAAATAATTCCAACTATATGACAATATTCTAAAGCAGGTCCATTTTGAAGAACCTTCTGACACCAGTCATTCATGTTCCAATCTTCTATGGATAATGTTCTATGCGATCTGCTCAACAAATACTGCAGTGTGTGGGTTTATGTCTTTCAAGTGGTCAAAATAAAAAACCATGACTCAAGTCAAAATTATTTTACATTAGTGCAAGTCTGCTGCTTAGTTGGAGAACTGCATTCTATCAACATGTGCCAAGATTAAACTGTCCTGAAATTAATTTACTGCAAAACGGATTCTTTTTCTCCTCTTTGCTGCTCTCCTTCCTCTATCCATAGAGCAGGTAAGTTACTCAAAACTCAAAGAAATTCATAGTGATTGACACATTAAAAAGGAACACAATCTGTGGTAGTCTACAACCAGTAAGTTAACACAGATGGTAAGAAAAAACATTATTTCTGCAAACTATCAGAATTTCAGTACATAATTACTTTCTGCCGCCTCGGTGGGTATTTTTCCCTCAAATTTACCTACACACCACATTCAACATCCAAGTCCAGAACTTGAACAGCTCAACATCTTCTATGGCATCATTCCCCTTTTTAATAATAAAAAAAATTAATAAAAAACACCAGCAAAAACATACGCACACACATTATTTGGTATTTGAATATTACCAGTATTAATGCAAAATGATTCTGCCAAGAAAGTCCCTTGATTGACAACAATGACATAAGGCTCATGTGTGAGCCCCTGGAGAAACTATTGTTTCTGAAGTCTCAATACTCAAATCAACATGTGATAAAGTAATTTCACCTCTTAAAGAACGCAGCATAAACCAAGCTGCAGCCATTTTATCTTTGAGCACATAAAAGAGTATATACGAGTGATTCAGATAAACATAAAATGCAACTGGAAATCTGATGATTGAGAGTTCAAAGAGTAATTAGAAAAAAAAGGGAACACATTACAACAATTCTCAAAAAAAACCCTCAGAAGACAAAAAAAAATCATAGACATGAAGGTATCTTAAATACTTTCACATTTATTACTGGTTATGAAGATCTATGCAGATTAAATGGTGAATCTGCAGAAAGAAGAAATACTAGTATGGGTCGGATAGTAAAAGATACTGTAGTGTTTACCTAAGTAACAGAAAGACAAAAAAGTAAGAATATGGTAAAAAGATGTCTTTTTAAATAAAATGTTATTTTTTTTTTAATGAAGATTGCATACCTGAATTTAGGTATATGTAGTTATGGTCAGACACAGATGATAGTAACTGTACCGGTCTCACACTAAGAATTCCCCTCCATCTCCTCCCGCCCAAAATTTATGAAGCCAAATAAGTCTAAGATCTATAATCTTTGTTAATCTGTAATCTCTGTAATAACCTATAATTCTCTATAATCTATAATCATATCTTACTGGGCTACTAAAACAATACAGAAGCTTCAAAAACTTCTCTGCAAGCGACTGGCAATCAATATCAAATTCAACTATGAAAAAGGCTTAATCTTGAACATACATAGAATTTTGTAATATTTGTCTTAAAAACCCTACCCTACAGATTTTATAATAGATCACTGGGCATACTTATTCAGAAGCTGGCTCTTCAGAAGACAAAAGCCGAGAATCCCAATTTGTCAGCTTAGATGCTGACAAACCCAAAGGAAATCTGGGTGAAGGAAGTTCTCCAGTAAATATGTAGGTGGCAGTAAGCAGACACAGAGCAGGCTTAAACAGGCTTCATACATTACTTACTTTTTAGCAGAGAAAGAAGAGAGGGGGAAAGAAAATGGGGACCATGGGGAGACAGGAAAATGAATAAAAATTGAAAACTCAGAGCAGAGAAGTCCTTCATCAGCTGGGTGAGGGAGTATGAATCAAATCTGACAGCATCTAGAGGAAAGACTATTTTAAACTAAATTAAGACAAGAGCTGTCCAGGCAATGCTATTAGCCCACAAGCCCATGCACCAGATCCCCATGCAGGCAAGCGAGTTTTGCACAACCACACCAAACCTCAGGGCAAGTCATAAAACACATTTACCATCCATCCTTTGCTTCTGACCCTGGCAACCCATGCATTCTACATGGAATAAGAAGGGTATCACCTTACACAGCAGTACTTGCCAGGGCTACTTAAGAGACTAGCATTTGTGGGGAGGGGGAAAGCTTTGGAGTATTTTGATTTATAAACTATGCCAGACAGAAACACTCCCTCTATACTAGTGCAGTTCTCAACACAGAATCCTAATTCATTTCTTCAACATAATTTTCTCTACTGAATATAGAAAGGAAGAAAAAAATTGATCTGTATTAGAATTTTGAGGCCAATCCCTTGAGGTTAATGGGAATATATAGCTACATATCTGACACTCAGAATCTTTTTATATATCATACATATATATATAAAATTGCATTAGGATTAAGGATTAATACTATAAGAAACTAAAGTGCTCATCCAAAAAAAAAGTTTAAGTATAAACCCCAAAATAAGAAACACTTTGTACAGCAGGTATAGGTCAAAAACTAAAACAAGTGATAATACCAAGATATTGTTTAAACAAAAAACAGTTTCAAGCTATCCAGTGTAATTTGAAGCTATGCATATTTCAAACTTTTTTTGGGGGGGGGTATATTCAGTGACTGCCAGAAGGTTTCAGAATCCCACCTGACTAATAAACATGTAGTTTCTAAAGCCATACACACTTTTGTAACTTTTAGTTATTCACAAATAGAAAGGAATAGGGATAATCTTTATATCCAAGTGTGAAATTGCACTTTAGTAAACTCTACTCCATTTTCAAGTATTGGTATTTGAAAACAGAGTCTGCATTAAACTGTAATTTGTTGGGGGTTTTTTTTGGTATGTTTTAAGGGGAAGTTTATAAAGACTTCAGTTCTGTCCTTGCAACTGATACATCTAGAACTACATACAACTCTTCATGATAAAGTCGCCCACGTTTATACAAAAATCTGACCAGAATAATTCTTATGGTCTTATTTAGATATAATAACAACAATAAAAAGATAATTCAAGACACATGGGTAGTAAACAAGAGGTTTGCCTTATGACATTCCTTAATTAAAGGCACATTAACGCTTCTTTAAAGAAGGTACTAATGGATAAAATTTAGATCTAACCATAACAAAAAGATGAAGCTTTTTTCTGAGTACAATGCTAGTGGCCCTCATATATAGAGATTCCATAAGTGTACGGAGCACATGTGGTTATTGCCATGAAGAGTGAAACATTTTATGATTAATTTGTATATTGTTGGCACCACAGGTGAAATGTTTGTTTAAATTTGAACACTAGTTTTATCTAGCTATAAAGATGCCTTCATAGCCAGTGAAAAAATGCTTCTCGGGTACAGCTCATTTCATCCTAAAAAGTTATCTCTAAAAGCACTTATAATGAGCACCTCTGCTTTTTCCTTCAATCCTGCAAGCAAAGAACTCAGTCTGCAGTCTTCTTCCGTAGGAGCTCTGGCCTCAGCTGTAGCTCTGGAACAGGACTGTTGAACCAAACTATGAAGCAGCTGAGCAACTGCCCCTTTCCACTCAAAACACTTAAGATCGGCCAAACCCGCTTTGGTTTTAATGAGTCTACAGGGCTTAAAGCTGCAGTAGATTGGGAAAAGCTTAAAGACAATGCAGTATATCTGGCAGATTTATTTTAGACTACAACTGCGTGTTAGTCAGATCATTCAGACTGCCGAAAAAGGTGGTTTCATATAGCAGAATAGCAGATCCCAAGACTCTCCAAAATCCATTCAATAGAACCAGCCCATGAAGTCGTGCACACACTGGAAAGGAGAGGAGTGCCCAGAACTTTAGCTCTTCAGTTGGGCAATTCTGCCAACTTTGAAATACAAGAGCCTTACAAAAGTGCATCTCCAATACATCTGCCCGGCAACATTTATAGCCAAGTGTTACTTCTAATCGTATACATGCAATTTTATTAGAGAGTTAAATCATATGATTATTACAGTAGCTGGAAGGAAAAGCCTAGTGTCATATTAACTTCCCTCCAAAAGGCAGGTACAGATCAGATATTGCCATGTTCATAAACTCAAGTTCTCTCCTCAGCTTCTTTTGAGAAATTCAACATATTCCATATATCGGGTAAACAAGACACCTCCCACTGTATTTCTATTACCTCGTTTATATTTTATTACACTGCGAAAACATCCTGCATAAGGCGGAATAAATACCCAATTGAATCATTTTAAACATGTTTTCAGAATCCTGCAAACTACTAAAAAGAGTTTACTATGATATTAGGCAAGCCAATACATGCTGATCTAGCATTACTACAGGAACTACTTAAAGATGACTCCCTTTTCCAAAAAAGATAGGATATATAAGATATATTAAGAGGAATTAATAAAGTTTGGGAGCCATGAGACAATATTTTTTTCTTAGTTTGGATGATGTTAAGCAAGAAAGAACTGCTCAAATTACATGTTTGTACATCACAACTTCCCCAGTTTCTCTAAAGTTTCAAAAATGTTCTTTCAGAATCAGCTACAGAGCTTCCATGCTTATTGAGCGGTCATTATAAGGCCCTTAGAAGTTCAGCTTAGCAAGAGCACCTCCAACTATGGTTAGACTTGAACTCATAATTAAGAGGTTTACGGGAAGCTGCAACTA